ATGTTTTATGACCAACTGCCAGCATCTGTTCCATCATTTCGATTCCCTACAGGCTGATTCCCAAGTTAAAGTGAAGTAGAATAGATCCACTGAAATCAACAGGGCATATGGGAAGAGGTGACCAAGCAACCCCATTCTTTTTAAACCTGTGTTTTTAGACTCCCCATGTGGTGTTGTGGGTAGAGGGACGGACCAAGCCTCAGGGGACCTCGGTTCAACGCCCTGTTCAGCCATGAAAACCGAAGGGAGCTTGTGGGTGGCTGGTGGCACTTGTAAAAGCGCTCCTTAAATATAACCAATACCTTGAAAACCTTATTAGAGTCACTTTAAGAGGGAGGAGACATGCTGACACGTAAGAAACATTTAATGTATGTACAGGAGAGGACTACTAAGTATTAAACAATACCCATAAAGATGTTCACCGGTGTTTAACATGTTATCCCCCATACACCCGGATTTGAGTTTAAAGAGTAACAAAGCCAACATTTCTTCTTCCAGTCTTAAAACCCAACCTGAGGCACGCATCGGCCATGGTTAGCCACGCCAGGGTGGCGCAGATTCTGGGCCTGCCATGCTGGCCTCAGGTCCACACTCCTGGAGAACACTAGCTTCCTGCAAGGACATGGGACTCCTGTAAGAACTTGTCCTCCCATTTTTTTCCAGCCCTCTTTCGGCCTGCAAGAAATGCAGGTTATCAGCCATATGCTTTGGAAGCTTGTCTGGAAAGTTAACATTAACCTGCCTTGCTTTCTCCCAATTCCAGTATTGTTTGCGACAAAGCCAGACGGCACAGATATTGACCAGTCCTGACCCCCTTCCTTTCTTCCCTCCTTCCTTCCTTCCCTTTGATTGCTGTTCCTCCAGCCACTGCCTCCTCCTCCTGCTCTCCCGGTTCCTGTTGGGTGTTCCCATGGTCTGAAATTTGTTGAAATTGCCGGAACAAAAAATACTTCTACCTCACTTTGTCTCTTGCACCAAAAGATACCAAAGATGACTTTTTTTTCCTCGTTTTGCAAAGGAAGTCTTTTTGTGCGTCCGTGTGGGTGGGTGCACACGTGTTGGAGGATGCGTGGGTGGGTGTGTGTGTGCGTCGTAATATATCTATATTTCTATATATTTTTTGCATGGCTTCTCAAAAGTACTCCGTTTTGTGTCAGAACCCTCAGCTTGCTCTGAGCAGAGAGCCCAGTCACCCTCCTATTTTGATGGATGGGCCAAAACCCCAATTTGGTCATGAAAACACCTTCCTTCCTTCCTTCCTTTTCCCAAGACTGTGTTCCTTGTGGATCCTAATAATAAAATGCACTTTAGTGATTATGCTACAGGGTTAGGAGTCTGGAAAAAGCTGTTTGAACAGGACCTAAACCGCAAAGTTCAACAAAAACAAAATAAAATAAAAGGGAGCATACTTTTCCCCCCACCTCCAAAGTATGTCTCCCTCTCCTGTCAAATTAGACATTAAATTAAGCTTGTGGGGACAAAACTGCATCCTATGCCATGCATCAAGTGTCTTCTCCACCATATATGATTTTATTGTAGGGTTATACTCCTTGTTCCCCTTTCCTAGGGAAGTGGGACAGGATCCTGGTTGCAGCTAACCCACCTCCAAAGTCCCATTTTCCCATTTATTTTGCCTTAAATGACCAGCTGTAACAATTTGTACTTCACTTTTCTCATGATATGACTGACGCATTTTAGCTTTCCGAGTTTCAGCTGTTCTAGGATTTCTTTGTTTTCACTCACTCAACAGGTTTCACATTGATACCATGGCCTGTGCTTGAGAAGTTTTCCTCCAAACGTTTTAAAATAAATGCTCAAGTTTAAAATGAGCCTCACAAGGCAGAAGACAACGTACCTGATCAGCTCAAGCCACTTGGTACTCGTTACAGCCCTTCTCGACCTCCATTCCTGCTTTCACCCAGGATTATCATTCTCATGATTTGCCAGCAGGGTCCCTGATATTTCTTGAATTGGTAAATTCTGCTTTTCCACTAAAAAAATTGGGCTTAAAAAAAAAGCTAACGATAAAATAATGCGATTTCAGACATAAAAACACACACCCATTAAAAACACTTCTATTTAAAAATGAGAAATAAAAGGCACCTTTCTTGGGCTCAAGTGGTAGCTCAGCACAAGAATCCAGAATGAGTGCCTTCAATCAGGAAGTGCCCAATCCTATTGAAGCCCAGGCTGGCTCACGCCCACACACCCCCTACCCCCACAAGCACACATTTCAAGGTGCCAGGACTATGTGTCCTACTGGAAGCTGAGACCCTGGCATAAGTCTACCTTCCCTATAGAAAAAATAAATGAATAAATAAAATAAAATAAAATTAAAAATGGCAGCCCAGCAAAAAACCTAATCACACACTCAAATCAACAGGCAGGGGCTGCATATTCATCCTGCATCAGTTCTGCGGAGTGTCATCTGCCTGTCATGTTTTGGTCAGTTACAGCAGGAGAAAAAGACCTAGATGTCTGATGTGCTAATTATAACCCAGCTCTCGAATATGATTCCAGTGGCCAAAAGTGAAGCTACCAGGATGTAAACAAACAGCCGTCCCTGGGCATCATGACGCCTTCCCTGCGTAAGGCCATGCGAGGCTCCAAGTCTCAGCCCTGGAAGGCAGCCAGCAAAGTAGATCTAAAGTAACACCAACAGCTCAAGTTCATCCCAGCGTTCAGAACCTCATGTTAGGTCCCGTCCCTCAATCTACATTTCTTTTCCCACGAGTACAGTTCAAAGCCCTTTTGATCATTCATCCCCACTGTCTTAATATTCTGTTCAACATAATAATACGGGCTCTGTTAGTTTGAAAATGCTCTCTTGGCTGCCAAAGATCTGAAAACTGGAACCATAAAATATACTGCAAAGTCATGTACTGTATACTTAGAAAATATATCTTTTTAAAAATGCACGATTCCCTGACTTCACTTCCCAAAATTGTTGATGAAAGATAATCTCACAGTTGAGGCTGTCATCTTTGAAAACTGGGGACTGTTCTTATGCCTTCCCACTTGACGATCAAATCAAACAGGTGAAGCTTCCCCCACCACCAACACACACACACACACACACATTAAAGGGTTCACCTACTTGGTATCGGAGCATTAGGCTTACTCTTAGACACGAAATGATAGCTACCAATCTGAAAGATAAAAACCTGAAAGGGCAAATTCTGATGCATTTCCCATGACCTCCCATTCTCTCCCTAATCTTTTCCTTCTCCTCTGGTCGGTGTAAGCTGAGTGGCGTGGTCATGTTTTTAATCAAAGCAGTGCATTAACTATATATTAATAAATTGAATGTTTCTTCTTTGTTTGTTGACCGTGCTAACTTTAAAAAAGAGAGAGAGAGAGAGAGAGAAAACCAAAGTCTTTTTTTGCCTGTAAAGAAAATAAAAATTAAAAAAAAAGCTGTACATTTTATACCAAAGTTTTTTCTTCTCGGATACCTCATCCTGTACCTGTTTGTGGTGAAATGTTATTCACAAAAAGTAAACGTCCTTAACTGAAAACATAGTGTCATGACTTATTATTTAAAGAAGACAAAGGGGAAATGGGAAGCAGGAGTGAAGTAGGCTTCCAATTAAAAAAACCAAAACGCATTTTAAAAATGTATCAAACTGAACCTGAAAGGATATAAAATCTCTAACAGGAAGGGATTTATGCTGAATAGAACAGACAATTCATGCCAAGCATCAGGAAAGACCACCAAGGAATGGTTTAGCTTTCCTAGTGATGTTTCCACACACTGGGTGTGTACTCAGCTTTTTCTTTGGCCCTGGCACCTTCAGACTCACCCTACCTCAAAATAGTTCTTTTAAAAAAACAAACAAACAGGGAAAGCCTCTCGGAGTGCTTCTCCTTTTAGATCGGTTGCAGGCCCTTCCTGCAGTGTTGTAAGGCCAACATTAATTATTTCTGTGGGAAACTGACCCCTAGACCTAGAGAAGTGTTTCCCCCACGAAGACCATAGCAGTCTCCAGGTGCTTATTCCTCCCAGAAACTGGTCTTGACAGATGTGCTGTCTTTAGACGTAACAGCTCAGAGCCTCCATCCTCTCCTATGAGTATGTCTAATCCCCTTTTTGAAATAATCTAAACTAGTTGCAGCCAACTCTTATGGCAGTGAGTGCTAGAAATTAATTCTATGTTCACGGGAAAACAGAGACACTGTGTATCACAGGGCAGAGAACCTCTTTCAGTCCAAGGGCCAAACTCAGTATCATAGAAGTTTCAAGGGGTTCCAACTGAGAGGAAGACCAGGGCAGAAATACCATTAGGAATTGGGGGGGGGAGGAGAGAGAGAGAAGAGATACACAAACACACGCAACCTTAGAATCTACCAAATGATGACACCATTAGGAAAGCAACATGACTGTCTAGGGCCGCAGGAAGGCAAGATTCCAACCCAGAACCGAAGGCTCCCCAGCCGTGTTAAGCCAAGGCATGGCATGCCTTGTGAGGACCATGGCGTGCATTTATGCTGACGTTCTACAGGCGTGTGAAATTCAGTGCCCCCCCAGAATCTCAGTTTCCATTCAATTAAAATCTCCCTCTCATTTAAGCTTCTAGACCTTAAGGGTGCCTAGGGTCATAGTCGCTGAAGCTGAAGAGACGGTTGAATAATATTTTTAATGGCTCAACAGCGAGATTTCCCCGTCTTTGCCTCTTCCAGGACAAGAAAACCAGAAGAAAATTATGCAAGTTAAGAAACGGAAGGGCTCTACCCAATCTGCATACTTTCTGCAGGTCACAGAATTTAGCCACTGTCAGGTCATGCATTTCGGTTTGGGCTGGAGCTGAAGTGGCCCAGCAGCCCCTGGCACCTACTGAAGTGAACGTGAATAGTTAAGTCCTACTGATTTAAATGTGAATTAAGAGCAATTAAATTTGGATCCGCTGGGGAGGCACAGATACGGTCAGTTGGAGGCATGTTCTGCAAAAAATTGATCAGGTAAGCAGAACCCTTTGAATTGAAATAAAAACCACAGCAGATTGCATAGATATTTGTGCTGTAATGGTCTTTCCCAACAAAACACAAGGAGAACAGCACAAGAAAAATCAGAAGAATCTGCATCAAAAAACAAGACATGGATGAAAACAAGGTTGGGACTAGGAGATTTAAAAAAAACAAAACCCAACAACACACAAAAACCCAGAACAGAGAACACACCACCGCAATCCATTCTTCTTGTAAAACACTCAAACAAGAGTGTTTCAATTTTTAAAAAAAGAAAGGAAGAGAAACTGTAAGCCATTTCTAGCAGTCACAGGCCTTCATTTTAACCTGGGATGTGGGAAAACTAAAAGGAGAGGAGCCAACAGGCGGGGGGAGAAACGCACAAATTTCTTTGCTCATCCTTGAAATCTAACAAGTCAACAAGTCCAAGGAAAGGAGGAGGAAGTGGTGGTGGAGGAGGAAGAGGAAGTGGTGCCGGTTTTCCTGTAACAGGACGTTGCCCACTCTTTCCAAGAGCCACAGAGGGTGGAGGTGGGCAGGTGGGTGGTCGTGGCAAGAGGAAGTCCCCGATGCCCATGGTTCAGGAGCAGGGGAAGATTTCCTAGAGTAGAAGGTTCAGTCCTCGAGAGAGAAAGAGAGACAGACAGAGAGAGAAAGAGAGAGAAACGGGCCATCCCCACTTAGAACAGACTCGCTCAGCTGGGAAGATTTAGGACTTGTTGAAGGCCGCCAAGACGGCCCAGATCATCTCCGCCCCGCTCGCCTTGGCCGCCTCGACCTCAGGGTCCCTGTCCAAAAGGTCCTTGGACCTGTTGATGGCCACGTCGTACTTCTCGTCATCCAGGCTGGCGAAGATGTTCTCCAGCACGTCGGAGGCATGGGCCAGCACCAGCAGAGCTAAGGTCCTCCGGTCCATGCGGTGGGGGTCGTTGACCCACCGGTCCAGGACGCTCTCCTGAAGCTTCTTCACCAAGCGCTGCTTCTCCGTCGTGTTGGTGACGGGGTGGGTGGTCATGTCGAACAGGAGGAAGTTCTGCTTCTCGGTGGTCAGGATGCCTTTCTCCACGAGGTTCTTCGCGATTCGCTCGCGGACGTTACGAAGCTGGTACTGTAGCTTGAAGGGGTTCCAGGTCTCACCTACAGAAGAACAGAAGACCATGTTCAAATGTTTCTGAGGGTGGGTGGGTCACCCTCACCCTATCTCGGGCAGAACCCGGCCCCTGTGGTTTTGCTCGTTTCTCCCTCTGGGGTTCACTAGATGACCCTGCCCCCCTCCCCATGACAGACTTAGCTTGTGGTTTCCCAGTCCTTGTATGTGTCCCCTGCTCCCTCTTTTAAAAGACAGAAATGACATTCCTGAAATTTTGTGACAGGCAGTTTCTAAGCAAAAGTATCAGTTCCTTTGGCTCAAAGCATCACTGGAAAGAATCCTTCAAAACCTTTTTTTGAAATTGAATATGGATCTTGGGCTGAAAGAAGTTACTCAACCATGGTATAAATTGTTTGGTTTTTCCCCCCAATCCATCAACATCCACAGGATGGGTTTATAGGAAGGTACAAGGCCACCTTTTGCTGTATTTTCCATCTTATTGTTTCCACTACTCTCTTCCATCCTATATTTTGAGTGAAGGAGGACCTCCAAAATTTTTGGATTTATATCTGGCCAGGGCAAACGATGAGCAGATTTGTCAGCCACTATGGGTCAAAGCTTACGCTGAGCACCTTTAAACGAAATCAGACAAAGCCTCGGAGGTTGCAACATGGATCCAAGATCACAGCGACACACTCCCCCTCACCCGTGAGCAATTCAATCCAGGTCTGCACCGTCTCGGGAGGCTCAGTGGCTTTGAGATGGCGAAGCGTCTCATCCAGAAGTACATCTCCAGCTGGAGCATCTGACTTCAGAAGCACCTTGAAGACAAGAGGAGAAAGGGGTAGTCCCACTGAGCTCAACGTAGGCCGAAGATGGGTCTTTCGTAAGTCGAAACGATATCAGCCAGAGGTTGGTGGTGAAGAATCTCACCTTCCGATCCAGGAGCCGTTTCTTCCTCATGGTTTGTGGCTCCAGCTGTATCCTTCCTCTCATTGCCAGCTCAATAAGAATGCCCCCACGCAGGCCCGAGGAGATGCAGTCATTCCAGAAAGACGTGTAGCCCTGAGAGGAGAAAGGACAGATTAGCAGCCATGGACCACGGCAGCTGTAAACATCCTCCTCCATCAGCGAGCCTCTGTTTTTTACATCTTCCAGCTACCCCCTCCTATCAAGCTGCGAGAACACACATCTTAATCACAGAATACAGAAAGTCTCCCTTCGCCGATATACTTACGAATTCCATGACCTTAACTGGGAGCCTTAACAGATACATGCGCTCATGCGTCAACAGGTACATTAAAATGGTCAAGATAGAAAAATCTCTATCGTGCTCTTCCCTTACTTATTTTTCTTAATTTGGCCCATGTTGTTATGTGCCATCACGTCAGATATGACTCATGGTTATCTTAGAAGGTACGTGTGATGTTCAAGGAGTGGCTCTGCCATGGCCATCCGCTCCCTCCGTGAGATGCCACGGACGCCCAGGAATGAGAATGTAGGTCCCTTGAATTCTAATCAGACATCTATACCCACTAAACCACTCTGGCTCTCAGACCGGGGGAAGGGAGGATGATTTAGGGAGGGCAGAAGAGAGGGTTGATAAAACGTAGCATGGGCAATGTAACCAATGGTTATATCATATACAGTCAATGAAACTAATGGATAGGTGAAAGTGTTCTCTTCAAAAAGGGTAAATCCTTTGAGAATGGCCTGTCAGAATATGTGACTCACATGGGCTCAGATAGCTATGGTGGGGGATTAAGACACACACACACCCCTGTGAAGAATAAGCGGCCAGCCATGATGGCTTCGATACAGGTGACCTCCTGAATCAAAGTCTGCCTACTGGGAAACAGGAGGAAAAAGGGGCCTCTTGCCCTAGATGATCTGCCTATGGATTTCTGAAGAGGCACCTGGTTGACCCCTGGGAGAAACAGGATGCTGGACTAAGTGGATTTTTGGCCCTGCCCAACAAGATCCTTCTTGCGCCCTATGGAAGCAAGACGACCTGCAGACAACCAGGATGAACTAGAAACCATATTTATTGCCAGAAAGGTAAGAAAGAAAGTGTGTGTGTGGGGGGGAGAGACAGAGAAGGACTTCTCTAGAGGCTTTTTAAAAGTCTTTCTCTCTTAGGAATTAGCTTTTGATGAAATTGTTTCAAACTGGAGAACAACCAAGAGTCCTTTAAACAAAGAGAACAGAAGGTGCAAGGTCAAAAGAACAGCAGCTTGCCATAGGCAAAACGCATTTCCTGTGCAAATAACCCATGCTTGTTTCACTCTACAAAAAAAGGGAAGTGCGGGGGAGCTAAACATCTGTTTATTTTAATAGGGTTAGGGAAAACACCTCCCTTTGGCAAACATTGAACAGCAAGCTCCAATATTGTTTTAAATCCTTCCACTTCCTTGTGCACAATATTGTAAAGGAAAATAGAATAGCACTTTAAAAAAAACGACCTTTTCTTGTTCCTGAACAAGTCCGGTTCAAGTCTTTCTTAGAATTATTAAAACCTTTGACATTACCAGCATGTGTTACATCAGGTTCTATCACAGACCAACACAACTCAAACAATTTTTTAATATATTTTTAGTCTTTTTAAAAAGAAGTGAAGTATGTTCCATATAAATGCTGAGTTTGGAACCAAAACAGCCTTAAGCTTTCATTTCCGACCAAACAGCAGGTCAGACCTCACTGTCGAGAAGCTACCTTGAATTGCAGAAACTGAAAAACAAAATTTCATATTAAGCTTCCAAGTTACCGGTATTAAAATTAGACAGTGCCTCCCTCACTGTAGATCTAGATGTCCAAATAGTACAGCTAGATTCAGGGTTGCACACAGAAATGCAAAATCAAGGCAAACACATGTGTCTTTCAGGGAAGAGTTCAATATCAGCATCTGGACACTGGGAACTTCAAGGCTGGTATTTCATATCAATGTTTTACAATACATGTTCTGACATCAGCTGGTTTAAAACAGAATCAGCTTTAAAGACGGATAGAGACTTACACCCAAACCGTAAATCTATTTGCTTTGCCATGGCCTGTCAATTTCAACTGAGCATTTTTTTTCTGACGTATACAGGAAGTTCATACTTTGATCTGCTTTGTAAAGTTCGCAATTTGGCTCTTGGAACACTACCTTGCCTTGGCAGAGAAAAAATGGTTGAAAAACCAGCCTTCATCAAACTATTGAACAGGAAAACCCAAGAGACTAGTTCCTGTGCAACCACCGCTTACACACACACACACACGCACACACACACACACGCACACACACACACACGCACACACACACACACGCACACACACACACACGCACACACACACACACGCACACACACACACACGCACACACACACACACGCACACACACACACACGCACACACACACACACGCACACACACACACACGCACACACACACACACCCCCCTGGGGCTGAGTGCCACCTTTCTCCCAAGTACCAGCTTCCACGTGGAGCAGACATGTCCCCTTCCTTACAATAATCTGTTCTGCTAAAAACAGAGAAGTGCTCCCTCCAAGACTAAGCTGGGGGAGATGCACCATTTAAAAACCTCTCCCCTACTCTGCTATGAAGTTCATTTTGGCCCAGCTCCCTGCTCCTAAAAGGATAAAACAAGAAAGTCTGCCGTACAAACCCTATTGAGAATCTTGTAATAAGACTTTTCCTTAAATGTAATAAATGATTATCTCCTCCTCCATGAGAACTATCTGCTTGCTTTTTCTAAGAGAAACGCGGGCCACTGGCTTTTCTATTCCCAAGGATCAAGTTGTGTTGTGCAATTGTAGAGACTCAGAGAAGCAGCTGATCCACCTCGTAAGCATTCAGCGCACACGTTGTCTCAGTTACAAGGCTGGAAAATAAGAATGGCCAACCAACCCACCTGGAGAAAGTGAGGCCTCTCAGAGCAGGAAACAGAAGGGGCCAAACCTGCCCATGCAAGAGGTAAGAAGGCAAAAAAAGGGCTCCCTCCCTGCAGTTTCTATACCTCTTTGTCTTTCAATCCCAGGAGCAGGACCTCCTCCATGAGAGTAAGACGGATATCTTTGGAGTCCCCAGAGTCTTCGTCACCCACGCCCTTGTCCAGAACGGAGTCCTCCTCACCCTCCGCCCGCTTCTCGGCATTCCCGCCAACATCGGCACGCCGCCCTCGGTGGATTAACGTCGTCATGATCTCTCCGCTACACCTGGAGGGGGGGGGAAAGCATCCCATACATCACCTCGTTTTAGTGTTCACTCTCTCTTGGAGCAACAAATGAAGAAAACAGCCACACGTGTCCATCAGGCCTCAAAATCCACGCTTGGTTTTGAACCTTGAGGGTTTCAGGATCTCGTTTTCTCTCCACATGGCAAAAGCAGTAAAAGAGCCTTTCATCGCCTTAAAAGCAACCCTTTTTATTTGCTGTAGGCTTTTGTGGACCATAACTCATGTCATCAGATGCTTCTGCAGAGGCAGGCAGCAGCTGATGGAAGCAGACGCCCACTTCAATGTCTTAGTTTGTAAAGTGGCACAAGACGCTTTATTGCTTACAGGTTAACAACTACCCCCCACTCACCCACCCACCGGAAACAATGAAAGCAACAACCTTGTGTGCAAAATCATATTAAAGGTATTTTAGCATGAAATAAAAAATAAAGCATACTGTTCAGTAAAATATAAAATGTCTGTCAATGGACAGGCAGTAGGAGGTAAAACCATCTTAGTTCAGTAGTCCATAGGTTTTACAGCATAAAACCGTAAAATAAGAAAAAGGTGTGCCTTAAGGATCCCGAACCGTTTTATAGATCAAACCCAACATTTTATAGACTGGGTCTGGACACACCCTGGCAAACACATCCAATAGATTAAAAACCAGTAATAACAGAATCATGGCACTGACTTCCTACCACTAGTACCGCTGTGATAGGAATATTGTGTTTCTGAACAGTGTTCGCCATATTACTGTAATTTAGTCATGCTGCAAAACAGACACCTGTTTTAATAATAATAATGGTCTTAGAATCGCAGAGCCGGAAGGGACCCTATGGACTCCCAGCCTCTAAAGTGACTGATGTATCAGGTCTGTGTGGACCCACAAGCTAGTAAGTTTACAGCAGCAGCAGCAGCACTAACAGAAATGCAACCCAAACTTCCCTGGGATTTTTGGCAAACTTTTCTGGGCCTGTTGCTTTCAAAGGTAAGGGCAGCTTCTCCCTCTTTAGTAAGAGCATAACCTGATCTTCCACTGCCTGTAGGCCAGGTTCCCCTAGACTACACCTTTCACCACCCTTAGGACAACAGGCCATGCTGGTCGGAGGCTAAGGTGAGCCTGGGTCCAAAATATCAGGGCATGAAAGGTTGCTTCAAGGCAGAAAATGGGAGTTAGAGAAATGAAACATCAAAAAATTTTCATGTGCAAAAACCACAAAGAAGTTTGGTAGGCAGTGGAACATGCAAAAAATAAAAATAATAATAAACGGATCATTATAATCCTATGTGCTTAGTTGGAAGGGGAACTATTTCAGGAGCCAGAATTAGACTACATGCTAATTTATTTTTCCTTCTTGGTTCCCACTCCCCCAGGGAAGTCTACAGTTTCACCTCTGCAGCAACTGGGCACAAAACACAGCAACACCACATCCTGCACTGGAACAATCCTGCCCATGCCAGTTTTTTTCCACCCCACGGCAAGGGCCAGCTTCTCTTAGTATTTTTGTACAAGAGTTTTTGTTCCCATGCTCTTCCTATGAGGCTGCGACAAACCTGTGAAAGCCACTCAGGCATTCCCTGGCATGAAAACTGCATAGATGGGGCAGGGATTTACACCGTGCATTCTGACATGCCATTAAGATATATATATATAAAATGAAAGAAACAGGTGAAGGAAAAGGAAGAAAGCAAGACAAGCATCGGCACTACAGAGCTGCTTTTTCATCTCATACTGCAGAGAAGAAATCCATGCATACTTTAATGCTCGTTTTCTCCCTCTCCAAACCGTGCATTCTTTGCTTCTTTTATAAAAATAAACATTTAGAGACCCCTTTGAAGAAACAAACACAGCATCGCCTTTTGTTGTTATTGTGGTTTAGTCGTTAAGCCCTGTCCGACTCTTCATGACCCCATGGACCAGAGCACGACAGGCCTTCCTCTCTTCCACCAGCATTGCCTTAAAAAAAAATTAAAATTCCGGCACTGTTTATCCACCTCTACAATCTGGGTTGTTTTCAGTTCCTCCAGCAAGGAGATAAATAAAGAAAATAACCCTTTCCATCTCCTAAAATGTATAACCTGAAATGAAAAGAAGGGGGGGGGCGCAGCGGATGCACCCGATCTTTTAATGGTAGAAATAAATTCGTTTTCCAGGACTCACCTGTAATTCCTTACCTCCTCCTTCCTCCTGCTCCAGTCCTTTATTTGCTGTTCTCTTGATAAGAAATCTGAAGCTTGCCAAGCCGAGCAAACTTTACTTCCTGGTTCCTCTACAGAAAGGAAGGAGGAGACAAAAGAGGAGGAGAAACAGAGAGAGGGAGAGAGAGCAGAAAACGAAAAAAAAATACTGTACACCCTCCACACACATCAGCTTCCTGGTGTCTCCGGGAAACCTACCCCCGATGGGCGTGCAAAGAGCAAATGGAGAAGGCTCGTGCAAGGAGAGGCACCAATGGACTCCCCAGGAAGGCGGGTGTTCTCCCCTGCCCACCACCACCACCACCACAACCCCGGGGTTGCACCGGCCGAACTTGCAAAAGGAACAAAAAAAAAATGTAATAATTAATTGAAATTAAAGGCGGGGACGACCTGGTGAGCCTGACAGCCGAAGAGACCAATAGGGAGGGAGAGGGTGGCTTTCCACCCTCCCCCGGAGGAGCAAGTGAGTTTTCATACACACACACACACGCACACACACACACACAGACAAACAGAGCAGGGGCGCTGTGGCTTATATGGTGGCAAAGAGGGCAGTTTGAGGGGTAACTCGGGAGTAAATCGGAGGGAAGCCTTGCATACGGTTTAGTAGTGCAGCAGGAACAAGGTTTAATAATAATAATAATAATAATAATAATAATAATAATAATAATAATAATAATAATAATAATAATAATAATAA